TACAGACGAGAAAACTGAGGTTCAGATTAATTATGTAACTTGTACAGCTAGTAAGAGTTATCACCTGCTCAGGAGGCTACATCTTAATCACCAGGCTGGACCACTTTCACCATGTCATTAAGGCAATAAGAGCAAGGTGCAGAAGAGTATGCCTAAAATGCTCTATTTCCATGGAGTTAGGAGAGAGGACATATTTAAATGCCTCTTGATTAACAATTTTCCACCTTTTTATCTCATGACACACATAAACTAATTACTAAAATTCTGTGGCACACCAAAAAGTATATTTGCTGATCTGATAAAAAAAATGGGGATAGCCCTAGCTGGTTTGGCTCAGTGCATAGAGCTTCGGCCTGCAGACTGAAAGGTCCCAGGTTTGATTCCAGTCAAGGGCACGTGCTCCAGGTGCAGGCTCGATTTCCAGTAGGGGGCATCCAGGAAGCAGCCAATCAATGATTCTCTCTCATCTTGATGTTTCTATTTCTCTCCCCCTTCCTCTCTGAAATCAATCAAAATATATATATTTTAAAAATGGGTATACAGAGGGGCCTTGACTTACGAGTGTCCCGACTAATGAGTTTTTCAAGATATGAGCCGTCTCTTGGCCAATTTTTTGCTTTGAGTTGCGAGCTAAAATTCGGGTTACAAGCCAGCTTCAGATACCCCACCGCTAGTTGGCGCAGCGAACGTCACAGTGAACGCCACAACATCAGCCCAGCATCACGTGTCACACTCATTCACTTTTTGATTTGACATACGAGTAATTTGAGTTACGAGCTTCATCACGGAATGAATTAAACTCATAGGTCAAGGCCCCACTGTAATTTTAATTGACTTATAAAATAATAATTATTATTATTTGCTCCAAGTGACTTTTGAAAAAATCAGGTGCCTATACTTGTATATAAGGATTTCTGGTACCAAGAATTAACCAATCAGGCTAGCCACTGTGGCTCAGTGGTTGAGTATCAACCTATGAACCAGGAGGTCATGGGTTAATTCCTGGTCAGGGCACATGCCCAGTCTCTGGGCTCAATCGGGAGCATGCAAGAGGCAGCTGATCAATGATTCTCTCTCATCATTGATTCTATCTCTCCCTTTTCCTTCCTCTCTGAAATCAATAAAAATAAAAAGAATTAGCCAATCAGAAGCATCACACTCAAATATGCAACATGACCAATAATATGCAACTCTATTATATGACCTATATTTATTATATGACCTATATACTTATGGTTTAAGACAGGGCATTCACACCAGATGCTTATTGTGTTGGCTGTTGTCGTTTTTTTACTTGACAATCTAAAAGAAAAGAGGTCAGTGCCCCTGACTAAATAGTCAGGTATTGCATGTTTTAAAAATTCTGGTGGCACACTGAATGAAAATAGCCGCTCTAGATACATAGGATATCTCTTAGGAGAAAACACAGGAAAATGGTTAGCATAGGTGTCCTCTGGGTAAAGGACCAGGGACACTGAGGATTAAGGGTAAGAAAAAAGCTTTATTTTCACTGTCTTCTTTTGAAAAGTATTTGGAATTTTTTTCTTCTACCATGGACAGATGTTACCTTTTCTAAAATGACTTTTATTTTTAATGCATAGATCAATTTGAATTTCTTTGGGACTTTCCCAGCTCTTCAGATATTTGTCAGTTAGAAACAATATTAGATGGGGCTTGCATCTCGCATAAAACATCTGAAATCCTTGTACTCAACTTCATTTCACTCATGACAATGGCCTCTAGTATAAAAGCCCAATGGTTTTCCACACTGCAAAAGGTGGTCCCACACTTACAAGAGAGACTGTGAGAGCGAAAACAAATGAACGAGCGGAAATTGGCCAAAGCCTACTCTTACTGTTATTTTTGATTTGGACTTTTAAAATATTTCCTGTTTACAAAGTAATTTTGTATGTTTGTCTGCTACTGCCATGACAAAGTACCACCAAATGTGTGGCTTAAACAGAAGAAATGTATTGTCTCACAGTTCTGGAGGCTAGAAGCTCGAAATCAAGGTGCCCATGGGGTTGGTTCCTGCTCAGGGCTGTGAGGGAAGGCTGTTCCAACCCTCCCTCTTAGACTTGTAGATGGTCATCTTCACATTCACATGGCACTCTCACTATTTGCAAGTCTGTCTCCAAATGTCCCCTTTGTATGAGCTGACACCGGTCATATTGATTCGGGCCCATGACAATGATCTCACAACTTGCTAAATACCTTATTTCCAAATAAGGTCACATTCTCCGGTTTGGGGGTTAGGTCTTGAACATATGAATTTTCAGAATACAATTTAACCCCTAACCCTTTGCTAGGAGCCAACCCTCTCTGCTCCCCACTTTAGCCACACCCAGGAATTTCCCTGCCCTGGTGCTCCGGCTGAGAGCTTAGTCTCCTGGCTCCCTCTGCGGGGAATATTGCTGAGGTCATAATCCTCGAGAGGAAAAGCCAGTGCGAGGAGAGTCACTTGCGGTGTGCCCTGAGTGAAAGCACTTTCTCTCCTTCCTAGGTGGTACCACGGCAACCTCACACGCCACGCAGCCGAGGCCCTGCTCCTCTCAAATGGATGTGACGGTAGCTACCTCCTGAGGGACAGCAATGAGAGGACCGGGCTGTACTCTCTCTCCGTGAGGTATGATGCTCAATAACTCTATGAATTCAGCATGGTCCCATCTCTTACTGACATGGCCATTGACTTGATCATCACACTCAAATAGCCAGATAGCAAAACCCTCTCGGTTCTTGGTAGACCAG